CATTGTGGTAAACTGTGGTCAATGACATGAGACAAAGTATATGTGAACTGCTGTATGGAAAGTGAATTTGCTCTGTAAATCTTCACCCAAATCACAATGAATTAAAAAAAATTATAGTAAAAAAAACAAAGACTGTTTCAACATCTGTCCTGAGGTACAGTGTTGTCAGTGATAGGATAATTTCATACTTCTATAAGGAAGACCAGTTAATACTAACTTACTGCTGTCGAGTCGAACCCGACCCATAGTGGCCCCTCTTTGGGTTTCCGAGGCGGTATGACTATGGAAGTAGATTGCCCAACCTTTCTTCTGAGGGTTGGCTCGTGAATTTTAACTGCCAGTCTTCTGATTAGCAGTCAAATGCCTTAGGCACTGTGCTACCAGAGCTCCTATTATTGAAATCTATGCACCAACCTCCAAAGCCAAAGATGAAGAAATTGAAGATTTTTTACCAACTTCTGCAGTCTGAAATTGACCAAACATGCAATCAAGATGTGTTGATTATCACTGGTGACTAGAATGCAAAAGTTGGAAATAAACGAGTTACAGTAGTTGGAAAATACGGCCTTGGAGATAGAAATAATGCTGGAGATTGCATGATAGAACTTTGCAAGACCAATGACTTATTCATTGCAAATACCTTTTTTCAACAACATAAGCAACAGCTATACATGTAGACTTCACCAGATGGAATACACAGGAATCAGATTGACTACATCTGTGGAAAGAGGAGATGGAGAAGTTCAGTATCTTCAGCCAGAACAAGGCCAGGAGGTGACTGTGGAACAGACCATCAGTTGCTCATAGGCACTTCCAAGTTGAAATTGAAGACAATTAAAACAAGTCCACAAGAGCCATAATGTGACCTTGATTATATCCCGCCTGAATTTAGAGACCATCTCAAGAGTAAATTTGATGATTGAGCACAAATGACTGAAAGGAAGAAGAATTGTGGGGTGCCATCAAGAACATCATCCATGAAGAAAGCAAGAGGTCATTAAGAAGACAAGAAAGGAAGAAAAGACCAAAATGGATGTCAGAAGAGACTCCGAAACTTGCCCTTGAGTGGAGAGTAGCTAAAGCAAATGGAAGAAATGACAAAATAAAAGAGCTGAACAGAAAATGTCTAAGAGCAGCTCCAGAAGACAAAGTCAATTATTATAATTAAATGTGCAAAGACCTGGAGTTAGAAAACCGAAAGGGAAGAACATGCTTGGCATTTCTCAAGCTGAAAGAATTGAGGAAAGAATTCAGTCCTCAAGTTGCAATATTGAAAGATTCTGTGGGCAAAATATTGAATGATGCAGGAAGCATCAAAAGAAGTTGGAAGGAATACACAGAGTCCCCATACCAAAAAGAATTCATCATTGTTCATCCATTTCAGGAGATGGCATATGATTAAGAACCAATGGTAGTGAAGGGAGAAGTTGAAGCTGCACTGAAGGAATTGGCAAGACCAAGGCTCTAGGAATTGACGGAATACTCATTGAGATGCAGGCACTCGGGGTTATGCCAAGAGATTTGGAAGACAGCTACCTGGCCAACTGACTGGAAGAGATCCATATTTGTACCCATTCCAAAGCAAGGTAATCCCACAAAATGTGGAAATTATTGAATAATAACATTAATATCACATGCAAGTAAAATCTTACTGAAGATAATTAAAAAATGGTTGCAGCAGTATATTGACAGCTTCCAGAAATGCAGGCTGGATTCAGAAGAGGATGTGGAATGAAGGATATCATTGCTGATGTCAGATGGATCTTAGCTGAAAGAAAAGAATACTAGAAAGATGTTTACTTCTGTTTTATTGACTATGTAAAGGCATTTGGTTGTGTGGATCCTAACAAATTATAGATAACTTTCAGAAGAATGGAAACTCCAGAACACTTGATTGTACTCATGCAGAATCTGTACATAGATCTGGAGGCTGTCATTCGAACAGAACAAGGGGGCACTGCATGGTTCAAAATCAAGAAGGGCATGTGTCAAGGTTGTATCCTTTCAATATACTTCTTCAACTTCCATGCTGAGCAAAGAATCCAAGAAGCTGGACTATATGAAGAAGAATGGCCTCAATATTTGAGGAAGACTTATTAACAACCTGCAATTCACAGATGACACAACTTTACTTGCTGAAAGTGAGGATGAGTTGAAGCACTTACTGACGAAGATTAAAGACTACAGTCTGCAGTATGGATTACATCTCAGTATTAAGGAAACAAAAAGCCTCACAACTGGACCAATAATAATCAGCCTCACGATAAATGGAGCAAAGATTGAAGTTGTCAGGGACTTCATATTACTTGGTTCTGCAGTCAACACCAATGGAAGCAGCAGTCAAGACATCAGACAATGTATTGCATTGGGCAGATGTGCTGCAAAAGACCCCTTTTCAGGTGCTGAAGAGCAAAGATGTCTCCTTGAAGACTAAGGTGCGCCTAATCCAAGCTATGATATTTTCAGTTGCCTCTTATGCATTTGAGAGCTGGACAGTGAATAAGAAAAACCGAAGAAGAGTTGATGCTTTTGAGTTGTGATGTTGGAAAAGTATGCTAAGAGTACCATGGCCTCATAAAAGGACTAATAAATCTGTTCTGGAAGAAGTACAACCAGAATGCTTCTTGGAAGTGAGTATGGCCAGACTTCATCTCACCTACTTGGGTCATGTTGTCAGACGGAACCATTCCATGGAGAAAGATATCATGCTTGGGAAAGTAGAGGGTTAATGAATAGGGGAAGGCCCTCAGTGTGATGGATTGACACAGTGGCTGGAACCATGTGCTCAGGTATAGCGAGGCTGGCACAGGACTAAGCAGTGTTTTGTTCTGCTGTGCATAGGGTTGCTATGAGTCAAAGATGACTTGACGGCACCTTACAACAAGAACAGAGCAGGTCAACAAACTTTTTCTGTAAAGGGCCAGTTAGTAAATATTTTAGCTTCTATGGGCCACAAACAGTCTCTGCCATAGGCTTTTCTTTCTTTCTTTTTTTGGTGGGGTGTACCACCTTGTAAAACTGTGAAGCCCACAAATTGACAATAGTAGCTCTAAAGTATAGATGACTAGTTTAGCGAATAGTCATTCTAAGTCAATAGGGTGAAATAATATGGCGAGAGATAGCAAAAATGATCATGCAATGTGAAAAATGTAACCAATGTCATTGAACTGTACATGTAAAAATTGTTAAATGGGTGTATGATCTGCTGTGTATATTTTCACCAATGATAAAATACACCTCATATATCAACATAGGTTCTGAAGACCAGGTTGTTATGAGAAAACTAGCATCATTCGAAAGTAGAGAATGACCACATCAGATCACAAAATGGAGGATGACTACATCATTACCTAACTACCAGATGATATCATCATATTATTGCCAAATCATATCAGTCATACACTACCAAATTACACCATCACATAACTGCCAAATTACATCATCACATCATTGCCCAATTACATTACATAACTGTCAAACAACTGAGAATCGTGGGCCTTGCAGGTTGACATATAAACTTAACCATTACTACTAGCATTACTGTCACATCACACCTCAGCGTTTGTTACTGTCAGACATAACTCTTTAACAAGCAAAGTAGTTGGATAGTAGATTTTTTACTGTTATTGTAAATGCTGATGTTGCATAATAAGATTGTCAATAAGTGAGAAGTAAGTGTAAATATATATATATATACATATCTCGGAAGGAAGGT